TTCTTTTTCACAGTGTAAAAGACAGAGAAACCCCATTTGCGAGTCCTGCAGAAACCTCACAGCTCTGCCTAAAGGGAGGCAACTGCGGTTGTGTGGGCACCATTGGTTACAGGATGAAGAAGCACAGGAGTACACAAGAGGTGTTTTAGAGGTTGAGGAGGTGGCCCAGTAAGCCCAGGTGCCCTCCAATGTATCAGAGCTTGGCTGTGGTGAGAGGAGAAATAAAGCAAAGGACTAGCAAAACCAAGGCTGTCCTGTGACAGGCAGGGACCGTCCTTGAGGGTGCCTTTATCTCCAGAGGTTGCAGAGAGGGGGAAGGGTGCAAATAGTGCCTGTTTGGTTCCATACTTTCTTTATTCTCTTTATTCTTTGTTTTCTGATGATAAAGGAGCTTTGTGTGGATATTGTAGCAAAGGAATTGATGAGTCATAAGATTGCAACTTCATTTCCCCCTCTGCTCCTTTTATTTTTTTCCTGATACTCACATCTTCTTCCCTCCCACCTTGCCCCTCCTCTGCTGGTGCAGCTGGACGTGCTGTGCCTTTAAGAAAGTGTGTTTTTTCAGAAGACTAATTCCTGAGCTTTGGCATGTGTTGAGGCATGCCCGAAGTTTTATGTTGTGGTTTATGAAAAACTGAAGTGCATTTGTCTAAGGAGATTTTTAACTCCTTTCTGCCATAGATACACTTTACCTCTTTGTTCTTTGCTTGCAGAGAATGCACCATTCAGCATTTCCACAGAGATTTCTGTTCTCTAATCGAAAAGAGGAGGGGAGATAAAGTGAAGTAGCAGGTTTTCCCCTCCCCTCTCCCCCCCCCAGTTAAAATTTATATTTATTGAGATGTTTTTTACATAGCAAAACTCTGGTGAATAAAGCTGAGATAGCAAATTCTCTCACTGATTATATACTCTCATTGGCACCACGATCACTGCAGTGTTAACCTGTCATTGCAGTAGCAGAACAGTGTAGCCGAAGACACATTGACCCGTAGCAGTCACAGCATTGGCAGCTTTATTATGAATTTCACATGTTACGAATTTCCTAATATTCCTGTTCATCAATGTTGCTTTTTGCTTCCTTTGCCCTCTCATCACGGTCAAAAAGAAACTTGTAAGAAGACAATGTGATTGCACTGTCAAAATTAACCTAGAATTATATAAATAAAATGTAGGTGTTGGGTGGGGTTTTTTTCTAGTTTTGTTTTCTAGCAAATCTCATTCTTATGAAGCAAAGTGAATGCTTGAGGAGGTCTGCCTGGATTCTTTTAAACATTTTCTAGGGGCAGCAATGCGATCTTTAAAACACAGCTCCCAGCGAGAACGTTACAGGCATACCAGGAGGTAACTACAGAGTTACCCTTGGTGATTATTTTAAAAGCTGTGTTTGCTATGAGGTCCTGGATCTGTATGCTAACGTCGTCTTGTAATAACAGCGTAAAACCTTTTGGGCTGTCAGCCTGTATCCATGTACCTGTACGTTGCTTTAGACCTCAAGATAGCAAGTAAGTCCAGGTGAGCAGAATTCCCCTGTGTCTCCAGTACGTTGGTGGCTCCAGGACTTGCCATGCAGTCACTCGCAGGATGTGGGCCCCACAGGTGAAAGGACGGTTTCCAGTAGAGACAGGCCTGTTTTTATGAGGAGAGGTGTTGGAGAGGAAGGGAGAGAGCAGGAGCTAGGGCTGGATGTGCCTTCCACGCTAAGGTGGTTGTGCAGCTTTGATTAAATCACTTAACCTTTGAGCTGCAGGTTTCCTGTGAGTGAAACAGCGGTATTATAATGCTGGGATTAAATGAATTAACGTAACAGTACTTTACAGTCTCAGCTCTGTAAATGTGCTGAGTGCAGTTGTTCTATTTAAGAAGCTTGTAGTGCTCGTTATTGAGCCTCTGGGAGGGCCTCTGCCAATCCCCCATCCTCCCCTCCCTCCCAATTAGCCTGGTCAGTGCTCTTATCCCTCTCCATGACCAATAGCGAGAAATCTCTGCTCCTTAGCCTCTCGATCTTGAAGCAGTGCTGTACTGCGACAGCTCTCTTCACCAGTGGCTACAGAGGAACGGCTACAGTGCAAGCGTGGGTGAGGAGCTCTGCCTTCTGCATCGCCCTCTGACCACCCAGGCCCAAGGAGTCCCCGGCTACCCAGTCCCTGCAGCATCCCCTCAGGAGTGTCCTGCAACAGGAGGTAGAGGTCCTGCCATCTCTTGACGTCTGCCACCTGCTCATGGGGTGGCCTGGGCAAGGCACATCACCTTTCTCTTCTTCACTGCTCACATGGAAGTGCGGATCCTATCTTTTACCTCCGTACCCAAGGGCTGCTCAGGGCTGAATTAATGAATGCCATGAAGTCAAGGATGTCTGTGGATTCACAGCACAATGTAAATGTGAAGTATTACTTGGTAATTATGAGTGGAGGTAACCCTTGTTGAAAAGGATTAATTTTATCATAAATCAACATTTGATCAGGCGGAATCGTAGGAAGAAGTGTAGAGAAAGCCTGCCCTCACCTCAGTCCGAAATTTTTCAGGAGACTGGAATGTTGCTTCTCCCATGTGCTTTGTGCATGCATCAATTCTGAATCTAGTACTGGTTACTGAGATTGATGGGGTGGCATCAAAATAGTCTGACTTCTATAGGTGTAATATTTCAACATACAGAGGGAAAGA